TTCTTTCTTTCTCCTTTGCTTTCACTTTCTTTCTTTCTTTCTTTCTTTCTTTCTTTCTTTCTTTCTTTCTTTCTTTCTTTCTTTCAGCTTTGTTTTCCCTTTCTTTCTTTCTTTCTTTCTTTCTTTCTTTCTTTCTTTCTTTCTTTCTTTCTTTCAGCTTTGTTTTCCGCTTTCTTTCTTTCTTTCTTTCTTTCTTTCTTTCTTTCTTTCTTTCTTTCTTTCTTTCTTTCGTAATGCTATCTTTTCCTTGTTATTTTTTTTCTCTTTGCCCATACCGTGTTTTTCTCACAAGTTCTAGTAAGTTCTTTCTTTCTTTCTTTCTTTCTTTCTTTCTTTCTTTCTTTCTTTCTTTCTTTCTTTCTTTCTTAATTTCTTTCTTAATTTCTTTTTTTCTTCTTCATATCGTGCTTTTTTTTCTGAAGTTCTCTTAAATTCTTTCATTAATAACCCACTTATTTCTTCCTCTAAATTTCCCTTTCTTTCAGAATTTTCCATCTTTCTTTCTTCATTGGCACTTTATTTTTATTTTTCTGCCTTGCGTCTTATTTCTGCTCAGCTGTTTTGTGCTTCTTACAGCAAATATGATTTTTCTCTCTTAAGCATTTAAAAATCCAAATCCTCTCGCGCTTTTTCCGTCCTTTGCTTTGAATTTTCTCTCATGCGTAAAACATTTCTGCTAACGTCAGTCTCTTTTTGGTGAGGACATGTTTTCTTTTCGCTTTTTTTTTCTTTTTCGAAATAAATATCTAAAATCGCCTTCTGTTTCAATGAAAGAATTTCTAGGTTAAAAAAAAAAACAAAAAAAAAAAAACAAAACAAGAAAAGACAGATATTTTGCTCAGCGTGAAAGACAGAGTTTTATTTTAACGCGGTGTCTCTTGTTTTCACCGGGAAGACGTGAAAGCCTTGAAAAGCAAACCTTTACAGAATTGAAATCTCTTAAGCAACAATCAAGACATTTCAATTCAAATATAGAACCAGGTTCAAGAGTTTATCGAAAACGTTTTCTAATCAAAAACCTGCGAAATTTTACTGAAACGTTATCGATGAAAAATCCTGAGAAGTGACAAAGAATAGTAAATATTTAACTGAAAAAAAAGTAATTATACATTATGAAAAATAACGCTGATAAACGAAAACAGAAATTATTTTCGACACAATGTAATATTTCTTAGCAAGTCATTTATATATACAGAATCTATTTATTATATATTCATACGTTATTTCACTGTTATATATTATTATGTTACATATGTTATTAACAAGTCATTATATATTATTATATTATATTATTTACTTATATTTGTTATTATATCTTAATTATTAATATATTATATTATAAATTATTTATATAGCTATTTTAATATTATTATATATTATCATATTTAAAGACATTTTTATGTTTAACATTCTTTTTATAGATACAAGTATTTAAATAAATGCTCTGTTTATAATAAACAGTATTAAATAACATTTACCGGCCTGAATGTCTGAGGAATTTTCACTGAAAATATTCGTCCTTCGACAGGATACGAACCTGTATCCTATACGGAACCGTCATATAGCCTGGCGTGCCTTACCGCGCAGTCACAAAGGACCGTTCGGTTGGCAAGGTCGAATTTACTGCTTATAAACTTCAATTTTCCATGAATCTCTCACGTACATTCATAACTGCTCACGGCGTATCAAATGTAAACAAATGACGTCACACATTATGAAATGGACAAAGTCCGACAATTATTTAAAGAGATTATAATATATATATTATTACATTATATTATTATATTATATGTTATTATATTAGCAAGTTATATGTTATATGTTATTAGCAAATCATTCATTATATACAGAATATCTTAAACAGCATCAAAAATCTTATTTAAACACTATCAACGTAACGTAAGCCCACTGAGTGGAAGAATCATATAGATATCAAGTTTTAACCCCCTTATAATTTCAGAATCGATGCCATCTCTCTCCATATATATATATATATATATATATATATATATATATATATATATATATATATATATATATATATATATATATTAGAATGTGCAGCTTTTATATTATGTCATAAAGAAGTAATTTATACAAAGTTTTAATTAGCAATCTTAATGAGATTAATAGCGAAATCACTTCGCTAACAAGACATAATGAGACATTAACTTACTATCAATTCTTTGAATAATAAGATTCTTATAACAACTTAAATATACAACAACTCGAATATAAAAATTTGATAGTAAGTTAATGTGTCATTAAGTCTTGTAAGCGAAATGATTTCGCCATTAAACTCATTAACATTGTCAATTATTTCTTTCTATACAGTTCAAAAGTTTTAAGTACACCCAGAATTGGCATGGGATGAACTTGACAGAAGATTGAAAAAAAATGGAAAAGAGCTCTTAGAGTCACTGAAGAAAGAATGGAATCAATTATCAAATTTATACTTGGAGAAACTTTTGCAACAAATGTCATTTTCTTTTGCTGCAGTAATCAAGGCTAAAGGAGGTTATTATGACGAGAGCAAAATTTAATCATAAAATCTTTTTGTCATAATAAAATTTCTAATAAAAAATCATGTCTCACTTTTTTAAAACCAATTATAATAATTTTCTCTTATTGAAAGTACAAAACAATTATAATTTGAACCAATCAAGCCTTGTGAGCGAAATTTGCTAGAAGGAACACTTGGAGCCGTCGATAGCTATGCTAGCATAAAGTCACAAGTCATCGTGACCGAGGGTTTGAGTGGGTTGGTGTTGTTCAAATTGTTGGTCATTCTAGATAAGACACTTGGGGAAAGAAGACCTTGCTCGTAGGCGGGATGGGCACAGTCTTATGGGTATACTTAGATGAGTTACACCGCGGAAAGCAAGAACAGCACCATATCGAGTCAAGATCGTATCGTGACGGTCCGGTTTCGATTCTCGGTAGTGGATGTGAAATGCTGATGCAGTCCCAAATATAGGACGAATCGGTCGTCAGTGCTTTCTGTTGAGTATTCTTCTAGACTCGATGAATTACTTTGATATATATAATTTTGTAACTTCCGTCTATCCGTCACACACTCTAAAATAATCATTTTGTGGAGACGTGCAAACAGGGTGGTACAAATTACTGTTGCTTTCACTTGGATGCGTAGCTTAGTAAAATTAATTTTTTATTGATTTTTTTTTTTTTGGTAAATTAATTTTTTTATTTAACATACAAAATACTCCCATTTAATGATTAAAACAACAAATTTCCAGTTCTTCTTGCGTTTGCTAAAACTATAAACAAATCACAAGACTAAACGCTTCAAAAAGCTGGAATTTCGCTCGAGAAAGAAGTATTTACGCATGGCCAGTTGCATTTTGCATGCTCGAGAGTAAGAAATCCTAAGAATTTATTTTCACTTTTAAAGAGGAAAAAAATAAATTTTCTTAAAAAATATTGTTTACCTTGAAGTCCTTTAAAATTAAATTAAATTATTAAACCGCGAAGTATTTTTCCAAACAAATCAGCTTATTCAGATTTCATCGATTGGTTTGCGAAATTAAATGTAACTTAACGTTTGTAAATGTCGACAAAAATATTAGCGATAACTTCAATAATACTAAATACTGTGAGAATTTCAACGTGTCGCAAAAACATTCTCGTTCAATAAACCTCTTGCTCTCATATTTTCCATTGACATTAAGCGGAAAGATTATATTGAATCAGTTGCGAGGAAAGTGGGTTCATTGTGCCATGTCAGGCAATGTTTCTCGCCAGAATCCATCTTGCACGCTTATAAATATACCATTCGTGCAGGCGGTGAATATTGCTGTCGCATCAGGTTTAGTGTCCCTGATAATTCTCTCAAGATTCTTGACAAAATCCAAAGAAGCTTCCTCATCTCGCATCTCGGCATCGGTCAATTTCCTATCAACCTGATGTGGCTTCCCTCTGTCTTTTCCAAAAAAAAAAATATTTCCATAGTAATTATTCTGGTGTTCATTCGTACTTGACACCGCAACCGAATAAATTTAAGTGTATTACTAGTTTGGGAATTAGGTTTCATCATTTTACAGTTTGACGAGATAGATATAAACGTAAGTTCTATTTTAATAGTTTATTTTCTCGCACTTCTTGTCTGTGGAACTACATTCTGATTTCTTGCTTCCCTGCCATCTACGACATTCGAAACTTTAAATGCAACGTCAATCGCCATTTTCTGTCTTTCTGAAACCTATTCTTTTATTGTCCTTTCGTATCACTAATGTCTTTTCATTTTTCTTCCTTCTCAGTAACCCTTTGCATCTTAGTGGCATTATCACCTTGCTTGGGGTGAAATGATAAAACAAACAAACTGGGCTTTAGATCAGAATTCAATTTTCTTAATTGTTGTTGAAGAGATTTCAATTCTGTAAAGGATACTTCTCAAGATTTTCCCGCCTTCTGCGTGAGAACACGGAAGGCTACACTACAGAAAAGCCCGCTTCCATGTTAAGAAAAGTAGTTTTGTTTAACCGAACGAAGAAATTTTAGCTGCCTTTAACCTATAAATTCTTAAATTGAAACAGAAGGCGATTTTAGATATTTATTTCGAAAAGAAAAAAAAAAACGAAAAGAAAACATGTCCCCGCAGAAATAGACTGACGTTAGCAGAAATTTTTTACGCATGACAGAAAATTCAAAGCAAAGGACGGAAAATAGCGTGGATTTATTAGGATTTAAACGCTTAAGAGGAAAAAAAATATCCTATTTGCTGCTAGAAGAACAAACCGCCGTAACAGAAATCAGATAAGATAAATTGTGTTGTAACCTCAAAAGGGTTAGTGAATGAGGAATAACCAAAACGGAGGTTATAAATGAAATGGTAATCTTTATAACATCAACAAAATACAATACTCGCCAGCGTCATGAAGTAGATAAACCACTGCTAGTGTGGGACTACATAGACAGCATATTATTCCCACTTACAATAGTGTCCAACGTATTTATAAGGATTGAGACATACTCATTAGTGTTCATATGTACGGTATATAATAGATAGATAGATAGATAGATAGATAGATAGATAGATAGGTAGTGTTGTAAGGGTTACTGAATGGGGAATAACTAAAATATCTAAATGATAGATAGATAGATAGATAGATAGTGTTGAAAGGGTTACTGAATGAGGAATAACCAAAATGGAGGTTGGAAATGAAATGGTAGTCTTTATAACGTCAACAAAATACAATACTCGCCAGCGGTGCGAAGTAGGTAAACCACTTCTAGCAGTGGATTACTTAGCATATTAACCTCACTCACGATAGTGTCCCACGTATTTATGAGGATTGGAACATACCCATTAGTGTTCATAGGTACGGTATATAATATAGATAGATAGATAGATAGATAGATAGATAGATAGATAGATAGATAGTGTTGTAACCTAGAAAGGGTTACAGAATGAGGAATAACCGAAACGGAGGTTGGAAATGAAATGATAATCTTTATAACATCAACAAAATACAATACTCGCCAGCGGCGTGAAGTAGGTAAACCACTGCTAGTGGCGACCCACTTAGAGAGCATATTACCCCCACTTACAATAGTGACCAAACTATTTATGAGGATTGGTACATACTCACTAGTGTTCATGGTATATAACAAATCCATTGTCGCAAGATCAGATAAATATGACGGGCGGAGTAGAACAGGCCAGCCTAGTTCCAAAAGGTTTTCTTGTGTTACTCACCCAGTAAGCGGCCCTGCAGTGTCGTAAACAAGAACACCGTTTTCCCACTTGACGAGCATATGGCGCTTTCGGCCAAACTTATCTATATAATAAATGCGAATGTCAGTGTTTCACCGGGTCACACTTTTTCAACTAGGGATCGTAGTTCAACAGATTATACCGTTACAGATGCCGGGAGGGGTAGAAAAGATTCACCTAGTTCCAAAATGTTTTCCTGTTTTATTTTTGCAGTAAGCGGCCTTGCATTGTCATAGAGGAGAACACAGTTTTTCCACTTGATGAGCGCAGCTCATTTTTCAGCCAAACTTCTACATCTATATAATAAATGCAAATGTCAGTGTGTCACTGTGTCACACATTTTCAACTTTACTTCTAGAGACTGTAGTCCAACATATCATACCGTTACAGATGCCGAGAGGGGTAGAACAGACTAACCTAGTTTCAAAAGTTTTTTTTTTTTTGCTGTAAGCTGCCTTGTCATAGATGAGAACAATGTTTTTCCTCTTGACGAGAACTGGGCGTTTTCAGGCCAAACTGGGCGTCTAAATGTGCATTTAATGTTTGATTGCGTTTTAAGAAATCTAAACGAATAATTCCATGTCGATCCCACTACACAGACAAGATAACCTTCCTTCTATCTATGATGGATTTTGGGGTTAGTTCAGGGGATTTATCCTTCACTGCCTCGAAATAAAATATTTATAAGAACTTAATACCGTGTCATACTGTTTGGAGAACTTCACCAGCAGCAAGAGGACCAGATCAAGGATCAGTTGAAGACACAGGCCCACATCGACCTGGGAAACCGTTGCTTCAAATCGGCCTTCCTGGGTTAGAATCATCCGAGGAGGTGGGGGGGAGAGGATTTGCGATATGCTGTCAGAAGGGCACGACTCGCCCAGCCGCGTCAAGTCCCCACACACCGGGAAGGGTAGAACAAACTAAGCAAGTTCCAAAGGGTTTTCCTGTATTATTCTTGCTGTAAGCGGCCTTGACTTATCATAAAGAACATCGTTCATCCTCTTGACGAGCGCAGGTCGCTTTTCGGCCAAACTTTTATGGATCCGTTACAGGTGTCGGGCGTCTAAATGTGCATTTAATGTTTGACTGCATTTTAAGAAATCTATACGAATAATTCCCTGACGATCCCACTACACGAACAAGATAACCTTCCTTCTATCGATATCGGATTTTGGGGTTGGTTCTGGGGATTTCTCCTTGTCAATTGACTGCCTCAAAATTTTCAATTCAAAATTCTGCAGGCTTGAATCTGGTTTTCATTCAAGAAGAGTTTTGCATCAATCGGAAAATATAGTAAAGATCAAGTGAACTTGGCAGGTGAATTAGGAACAGACTATCTTCATTGCCATATTCATGACGTTTCGGCCGTTGTACACTCCTGCCTTCTTCAGCTTATATTTATTTAGATCACGGAGGTTGATTGTTCTAACTCCACGCGCCATGCCTGTTTTTGGATATCTCACATTCAGCTGATCAAAGAGTGTTTCATCGATCTGAAAACGTAGTAAAGATCAGGTAAACATGGCAGGTGAGGTAGAAACAGATCAACCTAGTTCCCAAAATATTTTCCTTGCTGTAAGCGGCCTTGCGTTATCATAGAGGAGAATACCATTTTTCTTCTTGACGAGAGCTGCGCGTTTTTGGCTAAGCTTTTATGGATCTGTTATAGATGCCGGGCGGGATAGAACAGACTAACCGAGTTCCAAATGTTTCCCCTGTGTTTTTCTTGCTGTAATCAGCCTTGCGTTGTCATAGAGGAGAACACCTTTTTTCCTCTTGACGAGTGCAGGGCGCTTTCGGTCAAACCTTTATAAATACATCTATATAATAAATGCAAATGTCACCGTATCACACTTTTTCAACTTTACTACTAGAGACCGTAGCCCAACATATCATACTGTTACAGATGCCGAGAGGGGTAGAACAGACTGACCGAGTTCCAAAAGGCTTTCCTGTGTTATTCTTCCTGTAAGTGTCCTTGCGTTAACATAGAGGAGAATGCCGTTTTTCCTCTAGATGAGTGCTTGGCGTTTTTGGCTAGACTTTGATGGACCTGTTACAAATGCCGGGTTGGGTAGAACAGACTAACCGAGTTCCAAAAGTTTTCCCTCTGTTTTTCTTGCTGTAGGCGGCCCTGCATTGTCATATAGAAGAACAACATGTTTCACACACACACACACACGCACGCACGCACGCACACACACACACACACACACACACACACACACACACACACACACATATATATATATATATATATATATATATATATACACACACATATATATATATATAAGATTCCACGTCATAAAACAAACTTTTCGACGAATGAAACCCCAAACAGAATATTTTCCATCGTATCAGTTAACGACTATTAGTCTGACATATAGATTTGTATATTTTATCTGTGAGGTTGAAACATGAATAATTTCAGTTTTTTGTCAACCTTATGCTTCAACATATAAACTAAAATTACATTTTATTCAATTATATGGCGTGTTGAGACTTATCAGGCAGGTCTTCAATACCTTTCTGAATCAAATTCCGCAGGATTTGATGGGAAAAAACCTTTTCAGCGAACACTTCTATCTGCATTTCTTTGAGGATGTTTTTCCATCTGAAAGCGTTTTGCAACAATCGAAATGGTAAGAATTGGTTAGTGCCAGCTCAGGTGAATATGACAGGTGGAGAACAGACTAACCGAGTTCCAAAAGTTTCCCCTGTGCTATTCTTGCTGTACGCGGCCTTGTCTTGTCATAGAAGAGAACATCATTTACCCTTTACTGCGTACGCTGTCACTGCTATGCAAAAACTAAGGCATGTTAGTCTACTTCAAATTTGTCATTAATTGCCACGTTTGATTAGTAGATAATTAATTCCCCAAAACAGAAATTATTTTATGAGGTGAATATGGCAGGTGAGGTAGGAACAGACTAACCTAGTTCCAAAATGTTTTCCCATGTTATTTTCGCTATAAGCGACCATGCGTTGTTATAGAAGAGAACAACATGTTTCCTAATGATAAGCGTAGGGCGCTTTTCGGCCAAACTTTTATGGACACATCTATGTAATAAATGCGAATGTCAGTATATCACTGTGTTACACTTTTTCAACTTTACTACTAGAGACCGCAGCCCAACATATCGCACCATTTTGGAACCAGGCCGATTCCGTGAGCAAATTAAAAACACCCCGAGCAGGACCAGGACCCGCAATCCTGAAATTGTGGATTCCAAATTTTTCATTATTACGATTGTTTTCAGCGATTTTTTTGCGATGATTTTTTTTTTTTTTGAAACTTTTTATAACTTGGAAATAAATTTGTAAATAATCGAAATTAATTGCGAAATCCAGTGAAAGTCAGCCATCAAATAAAGATAATTGTTTGTACGGAACGTAAGGACCTACGTACATCAAATGGTCTTTAAATTAAGTGGTAGCAGAAGAATTATCGTTGAACTTTTAAAAGGTAAACTTATATATCAATGTAATACTTAAATGCAACGATCAGTTTTGAGTTCTTTAGTCTATTGTTGCCTATCGTATTTATTCCTGCCTATCTATTATGATGAAGGCCCACATCAAGAGCACTCTACAGGAGCTAACTTAAATGCCGCCCGATAGGACGGCTTTTAAGCTAGTCTGTCTATATTTCAGATGGCCTGAGGATTGCGTCTAGCATGAAACAGCCTGTCGCCTCTAAGTGTTGATTCAATGTTCACTTTTATATTTACACACGCTCTATCTCTGATATTAACCACTCTATCCCATAAATATAGCATACCTTAAGAGTATATTTCTTCATATATATATATATATATATATATATATATATAAGTTGTTTCGTATCTATCTGTTTTTTTTTTCATTGCATATCTATCGTGATTTATATTTATGTCCATTTTCACCTTTTTTTATACAATTCACCCCTATCAAGGCGATTATTCCACTAATTCACCCTGCAGCTTGAGATTCATTGTGGAATTCACTTGACTCACTTTTAGCAGTTGACTTACTTCTACGCGCCGCTGGCGAATCTTATAGGTGTTGTTCTTGTCCTAAGTATTAACGCGCATTACCAACCTTCGTATGATTATTCAGTTCAGTAACCTTTCCGAGGTTACAACAGACACGGTCTCAGAGCTCGGAGAATTGGAGAGAGTGGTTGGGCGTATGCAAAGTTTTTGCGAGATCATCTCGGCATAAAAACACCACGCGAGAGAGAATAAAGAGTGACGCTTGTGAACGCGATACTGCGTATAGGGAGAGACTTTGTCAGTTGAGAAAGCGATTACTTCGTTCAGTTTCACACATGTGGCACGAACCAACTTGCGAGTGGATATCCGAATTGGAAGACACGTGGCAGCCAATATAAGGCAATATGGCGATAGTAACAGTAATCGCTTGACTCAGTTTGTGAGCCAACGATTGGACTTCATTTGATCAACAATATGGGTTGTGCTTCCGAATATTTTGATGGAACATTCAGGATGCTACGCAGGGGTCTGTTGCTTCATTTCAGTCAATCAGTTATGTGCCATACTTGATACACGCTTAGGAGATTTTTCCTGAGTTTTCCAAGGCTATAGAACCCGGTCTGTCCTATCACTATCACAATGCAAATAGACGCAACGCTGATAATATAACATACTTTAGACCACGGGTTCTATAACTTTATTTAGCCCATGGACCACTTTTATTCTCATTTTTTTGGAGATCCCAACAAACATTGAATGAAAAATAACGTATATTTTACTATTAATAGATAAGTTTAAGAACTGTATTATAGAAATAGTAAATGCATATATTTTATCTGAACTAAAACTAATTTGATGAAAAGAGACTTAACAACTAAATTCTTTGGAACAATTATGTCAGTCAGTCAGTTATATGCCATGCGGGATACACGCTTAGGCGATAATGGACTGACGAGGCAGAATTATTTTCTCGCGGTGGGTGCCATTTCTTTCTGCGGTAGAACATTTGCCATCTAAGACTATAGAATCCAGCCTGTCCTGCTATTTACCGATAGCTGGTAAGATAAGGATTAATACATTCCTCAAGAGTATTAGCACGTAAGTGAATGTAATGAATTCGACTGGAATTCGAACTCGAGTCTCCAATTCCTCAACCCAAGCCGCTATCCATTTCTCCACCGTTACACTTTTTTGATCTAATTCCTTTTTCACGTCATAATTCTGGCTTACGGCCATATGACGTTGAAACGTCTGTTTTCGCGAGATCACCGAAGTTAAGCCACGTCAAATTGGGTCAGTACCTAGATGGGTGACCGCTTGTGAATACCAGCTTCAGTGTGCTTGGGTGGTGTAATAGATAATGGTTTGGAATCGTTAATCGGAGAGACGAGTTCCAGTTGGTTTCGTTATTTTTCACTCACGTACAAATACACTTGGGAAAGGTATGAATCTACCTTCCCCCCTAGCTATGGGTTAATTAGTAAGACTTGTATCATTATATCATTATTATCTCTAAAAAATTCTTACAATCTAAAATATATATTCTGGCTTTAAATAACCTGCAGAGAGTTGATAAGCCGTAAAAAACGAAAAAAATCTAGCTGCATATTTTTTCTCGCCAGCCATCTATTCTGAACATCCAGACATAAATACATCACATACTACTAAGTAATAACGACTAGTTAATAATATTGCCTGTCTTCTAATCCCTGTTGCTGACGCCTGTTCAGGCACATTTGTGTTTCTTCAACACCCGGAAGTCGTTTATACTATAAATTTGCGTCTCTATCTTCGGATAGAGTGCGACTCAGTTGTGGCTCCGTCAGTGGCTAGAGGCGCAACCGACGGAAAAAAATTACTACGAGGAGACTGGCCCTGGGGAACAGCTACCCGAGGCTGTGCCCCTTCATTGCACTAGAGAGGGGGATCGGTGCTTGCCACCGACGCCAGCGCTACCATAGGTCTTTTGTCATTGGCCCGGGTGTACGCGCTCGGGATCCCCACAACAAACCCGACCTAGTGTCACATCAAGTTTCAGTGGGGAGACGAGGCAAAGACCTATATTTACTGAGCTGAACTTAGTTAAAGTTTTTAGAAAATAACGCATTGGATTATACACACACACACACACACACACACACACACACACACACACACACACACACACACACATATATATATATATATATATATATATCATATTTATTATTCATGCATTTGAACTTATTATGTGGTTTATGGCATAAGATACGATTGGGCGGTTAAATTTCAGGCTCTTTATTTTATCACCAATTATTTGTATAAACATAGATATCGAAAACGTTCAGGTGATATTTTTTTCAAATTTGCCATTGATGGGTTTTGTATCTCCCCTTTTATTGGGTCCAGAGTGAAGTCACAACTTGCATCGCACCCCTCAATGTGATATATTGCCCCTAAAAATACATTGTCTCATATTTAACATTTAAATAAAAATTAAGCTAATTTAACCGATGGGGGTCATTTCGATTGCTCACTACTCTCTCTCTCTGTATATATATATATATATATATATATATATAAATATATATATATTGTCATGGGTCCTTACCTATAACTACGGAATGAACTCTTCCTAACATTATGTATACTACGCCTCTCAGAGAGGGTCGATTCAAGCCGAGCTTCTTGGCTTGACGGTCGAACTCTCTGCCTCTGAGCAGAGAGGAACCCGGACGAGGCTCCGCCGAAGGGCAGAGTCCCGTTCGGGGAGGTTGACCAACCCGATCCCGTTTATACGGGTTGTACGGGCATTTTTTGCCGAGCCTACGTGCTCGGGAAACCCACGTTAAACTGGGCCTTGTGCCACATGCAACCCTCGTGGTGGTGGGTGGGGGGCAAGTAAATATCGAATCGAGTCGAGCTTCTCGGCTTGACGGTCGAACTCTCAGCCTCTGAGCAGAGAGGAAACTGGACGAGGCTCCGCCGAAGGACAGTCTCTCGTTAGGGGAGGTTGACCAACCCGATCCCGTTTATACGGGTTCTACGGTCATTTTTTGGCCGAGCCTACGGGCTCGGGAAACCCACGTTAAACTCGGCCTTGTGCCACATGCAACCCTCGTGGGGGGTGGGATAGATATCGAATCGAGTCGAGCCGATAGTAGTTCACTCCAAACCAGACTGACAGTCATACTAACACCTAACACATCTTGTATTATTATTTCGTGTAATATACCTTCGTTATTTTCTACTCTTGTGTTCGTGTTGTTCTTCTTTGGTCCTAACCTGGACCATAACAAACATACATACATACATATATATATATATATATATATATATATATATATATATATATATATACTTAATTTTAGGATATTACATCGAAAACATACAATTTACAATCGCCTGATGAGATACGTTTATACTCATCGAAACACGACTGCAATTGTGTAGCGATTTTGACATGTTTTCGATGTGATATCCTAAAATAAATAATTTTTTATTTATCCCTCTTTTATATTAAAGGTTACGAACGTTGGAATTGTACTTTATTCGTCCCTTCTTACCTATGTATCTCTCTCTCTCTCTCTCTCTCTCTCTCTCTCTCTATATATATATATATATATATATATATATATATATATATATATATATATTGCTGTACCCGTGCCGTCAAAATTGACATCAAGAAGGAATGCATTTTAAGTAATATGTATTATACTCTAATTTTCACTTAATCCAAGCATAATTTTGTAATTTAAAATAGTTCATTGTTAGCGTTAATACCTGAACCGTGTACAATTTATAAACACCTAAGGAAAGATATCTGTATATTGTCCCCCTAAATGTTTTTTAATTTTTATTTATTGTTTTCATGTTATAGTTGTGTTTTCATATTTAAGTATAGTTGTGTTTTGACGACGCTTGTCTCTACATTTGAATGATAACTCTAACATTTTTAGGCATTTAAAACAACATGTCTGGCCGCTTACACAATTCTGGAAAATCCGCGTTGAAAACACATCTATACTTAAACATGAAAACAATCTTTAGAACCGACGTGCTTTAAGCCAACTCTGCCACGAAGTGCGTCGATGTTCAAACAAAGTTGAATAGAGTCTTAAAAACGCAAATATTCCTCAGACTCTTGTCGGATTAATAAATAACAATCCATCAATTCTTTGCAATTTTTCCAGTTTTGTTGTTTATATCAAGAACAAGTTATGGAAAGTAATAGAGAATTATTATTTTGCAATATATCTTATGCTTATTTAAAGCCTAAGAACATTTCATTTGTCAAAATTTTAATTTACGGGAACAACGAATTAAAAACAAACTTTAGAGTGACAAACAGTATAAATTTCACTCCCCTACGTCTACTGCTGATATCCTTGCATTACACATCGAATCAGCGAAAATAACTAAATAAAAAAGAGCTTTAGATTCCTGAAATTAGATTTGATACGGTATGGCATAAGGTGTTGCCGTACAAACTACACAGCGTCTTCCGTGGAAGAGTTTTCGCATTTATCAAGTCCTTATCTGGTAGATCAATGGAAGTGGTCGTAAATGTCCTCTTGACCCCATGAAATCAATGTTGGCTTCTTTAATGCTCCTAGGTCCTGCTCCCTTTCTGTCCTGGAAAATTAACAGTTCATTAGTAAATATGTCAATAGATTATACCAGAGTTTACTAGTGCACTTCGTAAAAAAATCGCAATGAAGAGTCTGGCACTTGATCTATCATCTAATCAAACACATACAACTCATTGGGGAAGGAATTTTCTGGTAACATTCAATCCTATAAAACCAAATAAAATAGACAGATATGAATAGACTGATATATATATATATATATATATATATATATATATATATATATGGCGAAAAACAATGATATATATATATATATATATATATATATATATATATATATATATATATATATATATATATATATTTATCATTGTATTTGGCCATCAATCCATCTTTTAGGCAATGAAACATGCATATATATATATATATATATATATATATATATATATATATATATATATATATATATGGAGAGAGAGACAGATATGAATGTAGTGGGATATAAGCAAAGACAGATAGATGATATGAACGTACCTAGATAGATAGGTATGAACAAACAGAAAAGTCTGAAATAAATAGAGATAGACATATATGAACATAATTATATATATATATATATATATATATATATATATATATATATATATAGATAGATAGATAGATAGATCGAAAGGTATATCGATAGATAGATAGATAGATAGATATATCGACTTGAACAGACTAAAATAAACAGATAGATATAAACAGATTCAGAGAGATATGAATAGACTGATATATATATATATATATATATATATATATATATATATATAATTAGACGGAAATAGATAGATATTGAACAAGCTGAGATAGATAGATAAATAGGTATGAACAATCTGACAAAAATAGATAAATAGCTAATGTGAAGAAAATGAAATGAATATATATATATATATATATATATATATATATATAGAGAGAGAGAGAGAGAGAGATAGATAGATAGATAGATAGATAGATAGATAGATGTAAACAGAATGAGAAAGGAAGGAAAATTCGTCTTAGATAAAAGACCAACTGTGATGTAAGACAGTAAAGTACGACAGATGAGTAAAGTACAAGAAAGAATAAAATTTACGGAATGTGTAATGGATGACACGTAGACAGCGTAACGATCATCTAATGACGTAGATAATCACGCATGCGCTCTCTGTCAGTGTCTCTCTCGCTGAAAAGAAAAGGAAGACAAATGTCTCACAACACTTTTTCTTCTTTGTTTTATTTGCAGAAATAACAGCACCTGATAGCCGGACAAGAAGCATCGCATGCGAAAGACTCAAGTGCTAATTTGATACCAAAATTCATTACTTTTAGCTTTGTATTATCAGAAACGTCCTATGCTAGAATGAGCAATAAATAATTTCAGTTTTTAGCTTATCTGAATTATCCTTAAAAATGTGAAAAGCGCAATTATTTTTTTTTCAGCTATATAATCCGACTTTGTTCGGATTCTTTAAATCAATCATTTTGTCAGAATGTAGATCCTTGATCACATAGACATATTAAGTAAATATAAGAAGCTACTACCCAAATCCTTATATATATATATATATATATATATATATATATATATATATATATATATATATATATATATATATGCACTGTTACATTAGAAAACGTACATACCGAATACAAAAATGTACATCTTGTTTCAACGTTAAATTAACGTCTCTTCAGGTGGGAACCCAGGATGGTACTCTCCTTAATTGCTCTACTTTTGTATTGAGCCCTGTTTTTTAAATTAATGTTTTGAACGTTGAAATTGTACTATATATATATATATATATATATATATATATATATATATATATATATGTGTGTGTGTGTGTGTTGTGTTTTTAAATTATGCTATTTATTGACAGTTGAATATATGTTTTGGAGCGTGAGATGTCGAGACGCTAGAGTTCTTGTTCAAATCGATCAAGTGAGAATTTTGCTAGAATTTTGAAGGTGACAATTTTAAATTGTCGAAAGTTCTTGGCATGTGTCTTCCATCTGACAACTCGAATATAAAGATCTCATTATTCAAGAAATTTATATCAAGTTAATGTCTCATTACGTCCTGTTAGCAAAGTGATTTCGCCATTAATCCCATTAACATTGCTATCTAATTCTTTGTATAAATTGTTTCTTTATGATATATATATATATATATATGTAAAAGAACGAAAAGAATACAAATTGAAACGTTCCCAACATTAATTATTTAAAAAAGGGCTCAATACAAGAATAATATTATCATTATAAACATTTACATTGGAACATGCAAGTTACCGCGACAAAAATGCAATATATATATATATATATATATATATATATATATATATATATATATATATATATATATATATTATAATTATTTATTTAAAAAACTTTATAACATAGATATGTTATAGAATCACTACAAAAATAGCCATTTTGTTTCAACACCCTCGGTGTCTTATCAAGTGATGATGTTGAATGTAAAATGAATGGTTTTAAAAGTTTTGAATTAATTAACAATCCTTCACAAGGGAAAAACGTTGTTACAAAAGCTAGATGGACCAATCAAAATACAAGTATAGGAAAATTCAAAAAGCTTGACAACGAAGTCATGTTATAATAGCTATTCAGATGTTTAAAATATGGGTAGTATTAAAAATAGCTATTATCGGCTAGTATAACACTTGATAATTTGTATTGAGCACTCTTTTAAGAATAGTATTTGTTGGTTATTGGAATTCATTCCATATATACCAATCATATACTTGGGTATATATATATATATATATATATATATATATATATATGTGTGTGTGTGTGTTTGTGTGTGTGTGTGTGCGCGTGTGTGTGTGTGTGTGTGATGCCATTGTAAGTGGCATATCCACGACCTTTCGGTCGTTGTACGTCCCGACCTTCTTCAGTTGATTAGAATTTCGAAATGAAACTTTTATTTCGTCCATCGGGTAGATTGTGCTAGCTCCACGTGCGATGCCTCCTCCGGATATCTTGGTCATATATATATATATATATATATATATCCTATTTTTATATGTCGTGTCAATTCATGGTTCCCCACTTCCCCCTATCCCTTGTAGTTTTCAATAAGTTCTGTCTTTTTGTTGTTTCTCCCAGACCCAGTTTTGCCATTCACTTGCTTAAGTTCCGTTAAATATGTCATGCGTTGCTTTCCCTTGTGCCTCTTTCCATCTCCCCGCCCTGTGAGTATCGGATTTTCCAAGCCTTCCTCTCTCATTATAGAAATTTTCCGAATATTCCGTAGGAGTCTCTACATAATTTATGTCAAAAAAAAAAGAAGATCAGATAAAAATCAGAAGAATAGATAAAAAGCTTAAACGCAGTAACTTGTCAGTCATTTTTAATGAAACTTACATAAAAGGTGGATTGCTGTCTAAATACACAGTTATATGCTGCCTCTATATATATATATATATATATATATATATATATATATATATATACTGAACTCTCCCGTCGTAATCAACATATGAGGCTCAATCAGCTCAGTTCCTAGCCTAGAAATCGACAGCCAGACACCTGCACATATGATTTGATTATAGTGATGAAGGCTTTCTGCAGAACCAACCACACGTTTTGAAGAGCAGAGCAAAAACCTGTTGCACAACGTACCACAAGTTCCCCAAACGACCCTCTGCAAGTTGTCCTTCTGCTAGACCAGTTGCCATACAAGGCTATAGGACCCAGTTTGTCATGCTATTAGACAAGATCTGGGGGAGAAGAAGAGGAGTCATACCTTTCTCAAGGTATGAATCCTCTTCGCTATCCACTACCCCACCATATATATATATATATATATATATATATATATATATATATGTAACATTTGACGTCGATTAGTTATAATAAAATTTCGCCAAGAATTTTCCGAAGTACAGAATATATTATACAAGGTTTCGATTGACTTCTGTCATCATCAGGGTAGGGAGAGACATTTAGTAAATTGGTGAGTCAAAAGCTTGGATCATATTTACTGTACTATTCATGAACATACATGTATGGTTGGAAAGCGAAGGTTCAATCAGCCAGACGCCCGTATGCATTCACACACACACACACATGAAACTGGATTTATAAAAAGGAATATATATATATATATATATATATATATATATATATATGATAAAAAATAGTTTTATAGTATGCGTGTGTAAACATAAAAGTGGACGTTTGAAGTCAACTCCAAGCGCCGACAGTCTTTCAGGCGTGACGGCTGCGAATAAGCATGAAACAGACTGTCGCTACTGGGTGTTGATCTTATTATCCACTATTATATATATATATATATATATATATATATATATATATATGAATACGTGTGTGTTTGTTTTTTGTTTGTATATCTATATATATACATATATATATATATATATATATATATATATGTAGACACAGAGACACGGATACAGAAACACAGCGACACACACACACGCATATATATATATATATATATATATATGTATATATGTATGTATATTATCATTCACAGACAGACTGTTT